ATAACAATGGCGTAGAAATGTGAAGCCATAATAATCAGTTTGAGTTTAATCGATCTAAAACCAGTACCCTAATTGTAATATAGTTGCTAAGACAGTATATTATAGTACCACGAATGGAACTCTCAGTCAAGAATCGGAAATGTTATAATAAATTAACACGCAGTCGAAACCCGCAAACTATTAATTTCATATTAATTTAAGAGGGACACCTTGAACTTTATTCTCAGCAGGGAGGTAATCTGTTGAATTGTCATGAGTCAATGATTTGCTGTTGCTTGACCGTATGTGTCATGTGTTATGGAGGGAGTCACCGCTCAAACCTCTCAGGTGTGCCACGCCCACCTACACCTGTTCACTTCCTCAGGTAAATCATCTCGGACAGGAGAAGTCGCCCCGAGTTCTTACGCCCATTCACCTTGAAATCCAATAACACCTTTTAATAAGATAAGGTAATCAAGTTATTAAACCAAACACTGAAATAATTTCAAAGTCGTTAGCATTGTCTGAGGTAACTCCTGCAATAGATGCACAGTATGTCACTAGTTTAATAATTTCTTTGTTCGTTTCAACATTCCATCGACTAATTTCACCACGAAAACTTTTGACTACATTCGTGTTTTATAATCTAACACAACTATTCAAGATACAAATACATGTTGATATCCTTCTAAATAACTGAGCTTAATGTGAACACCGTTAATTAATCCTTACATAAGCTACAAACGCGTTGCTGTGGGACCTTGAAAATCTCGGCGCGGCAACTGTGGCAATGGGCTCAGCTGCTACACGCCGCCACCAACACACCGCTCTGTTGACATGACGGATGGCATTACCTCACTCACTCTAACACAAACAGGATCATAATGTCACCTTATCTGATTCTACTTCATAAGGCAACGTCCTCCTTGTGTTGAGAGGTGATTCAATTCTAATAAAAAAAAGTTGAGGTCTCCTATTTTGACCATGAGCTGCACCTCCTTCATGGCTGCAAGTTGACGGAAAATTAACCCTCACGCGCGACTTGTTTTGTACTTGGTGGTGTCCTTCAATACTTCTATTTTCTTATCTCATATAACACTACTACATGTCTACTCTTGTATTCTCAATTAATTATCATGAATTAATTTTTACATCATAATTACCCTATGATGAGCTGTATTTATGTTCCTATGCATAGTTTACGTGTCATCATTACTTCCCTATTTTTTTGTTTGTATTCACTTTCATAGAGGTTATTACCTTCTCGATCACCATCTTCATCTCAGGAGGAGCAGGGAGGCAACAGGACAAGGGAGGGTGTGGGAGGGAGGGTGGGGAAGTCTGGCGGCAGGATACGACGGGTTTGGCCCCACAGGAAGGTGGCGAGGACACTGTTAAGCTGAGCACGTGAACGGTGCACGAGAGGGAGGGAGGGAGAACAACCCCAACACTCTCTCCTTTCTCCACACCACGTGAGACTCACTTCTCCCTCCCTCTCCGTGCTTGATTGGGAGTGCGCTCACCACGACCCTCTTTCCCTCTCAGGTCGAGGAGGGTAAAGCAGGGCACCCCCCCCCTCCCCCCCCATCCATCAACACGGGGGAGGCGAGAAGCAGTCCCAACATCCCTCAGTATAAGTGAGGGATGGGGTAAGTCCCGCTCCTCCCCTCGGGAAGTGAGGGAGAGGGGAAGACTCCACCCTACGTTGGGAAGAATGAGAGAAGCAGAAAGCATCACCAATTACTTCACCCTCCCAAGGCATTAAAGGGAGGGGATACAAAATTATTAATGGTCGTGCCGAACCAAACATGCGGCGGTCGTTATCAAGTACTGTACTTTGTTTAATACACCAACAGTCCTTTTATTCTGTATTTATACTGTATTGGTCTGCTACAAGTTCTGTCTATGTAACTTTACGCTATACTTTTACAGTACAGTACTATGAAGTTTTCGCTGGTTAATGGTGTATTAAAGTCTCTAGAATCGTTATTAAATTCAATGCAAGTTCACAGCCAATTGTGTTTACTTCCAACTTTTATTCCAGCTAACAAAATAACCTACGAAACCTATATACCAAAATAAATATATTCCACAGGTAAAAAAGTCTAGGTTGATGTTTTTCGTGTTTTTATAATTGACTAAGCATCATTTATCATGTGTAAAATATCTTCCATCACTGTGAAAACGATCGAAGTTGACCTCATTACATATTATTATTGTGATTTTATGACGTAACGTGTAATCTGGAATTAGATCATTATAACATACTGAACACCACCAAAACAAAGCAAAGACGTTCAATGTGATCATTTTCCCATTCATCTTTCCCACAAAAACAAAAAAATATCATTGCGTGTTAGACTGCTTTTATTAACACTAAAGCCCCGTAATTTACATACCGACTGGAATATAATTTATGCTCAATAGGTGTCATGCTGAGGAATGAATATTAAACCACGCCAAACTCACGGCAACATGCTTATTTACATACACACATTAACGCTGATTATTCAACATATATAGGGTGACCCAGAAAAATATCCCTGCCTCCCTCCCTCCCTGCCTGCCTGCTACCGGAGACACTGAGTTGAAAGGAGGCAAGCAGGGAGGGAAGCAAGCAGGGAGGGAGGCAAGCAGGGGGGCAGGGAGCAGGCAGGCAGGGAAGGAAGGAGGCAGGGAGGGATCACGTTATGCAGGCTACAGGAATTTAACTTGCCCACGATTTGCCAAATGGGTTTCAGCCCTAATAGACCCCAAACTCCAACCTAATCTCCCCACAGCTACCTAACAGAACTGAGATCAAGTTCATGTGTTCTAATCAACCCCCCCCCCCCAGAACCTAAACAAACCAGATAAACAAGACTGAGGCTCACTTATTATGATTTAATCCTGATAGACCCCAGATCAAATAGGCTATATTAAGTTCCACCGAGCTCCACTATAATGGTCCCCTTTATCCTATAGTGGTGACGTTAGATTAACCTGTTTACAGTATACCTATATTAGTAATGTTTGACTATTGTATAATAAACTTCGTTTTTTTTAAGATTCTACCCATATAAAAAGTGATCCTATAGGGCATTTCCTCACCGGACAAATAGCCAAAGATTCAGTATCAGCCTCACCTAACCAAATCAAGGTATCATCACCTCCAAAATAAAAACATTATTTACTACATTCCATAACTATAACACGGTAGTCAATACACCCGGGACGAATCATCAGCCCACCATAAAAAAAAAGTGATAAAACGCCATTACCACGTCACGCCATTACCACGTCAACTTAATACGATGATCTTACACGAACCTGGGTATAATAGTCCGTCTCATATCACACCCTTCAACATATTCCAATGCCTATCAGGAGAGACCATTACATTAACAGTCGTATACAGAGGAACACGGGCTAACTTAACAGAACTGAGTCAGCAACTCAAGTCAGCATTATTCTGTCATGTATGCAAATCTTAACTACCTGATTAGATGATCGTTCAGTATTAGAAGTTAAGGAAGCTATTAGTGGAGAAAAGGTCGCCAACAGAACCCAGTTAGAGTAGTATGTATACGAGAGAACCCAGTTAGAGTAGTATGTATACGACAGAACCCAGTTAGAGGAGTATGTATACGACAGAACCCAGTTAGAGGAGTATGTATACGAGAGAACCCAGTTAGAGTAGTATGTATACGACAGAACCCAGTTAGAGTAGTATGTATACGACAGAACCCAGTTAGAGTAGTATGTATACGACAGAACCCAGTTAGAGTAGTATGTATACGACAGAACCCAGTTAGAGTAGTATGTATACGACAGAACCCAGTTAGAGTAGTATGTATACGACAGAACCCAGTTAGAGTAGTATGTATACGACAGAACCCAGTTAGAGTAGTATGTATACGACAGAACCCAGTTAGAGTAGTATGTATACGACAGAACCCAGTTAGAGCAGTATGTATACGACAGAACCCAGTTAGAGTAGTATGTATACGCGTGACAGAACCCAGTTAGAGTAGTATGTATACGAGAGAACCCAGTTAGAGTAGTATGTATACGACAGAACCCAGTTAGAGTAGTATGTATACGACAGAACCCAGTTAGAGCAGTATGTATACGACAGAACCCAGTTAGAGTAGTATGTATACGACAGAACTCAAGAGGATAAGTATGTAAGTAGCACTATGGAAATGACGCGGGTAGTTATAACTGGTTTAGTTTAGCCAGTATATATGTTTAATTAGGCATAATATAGCACACATTAAGCGAAACTAATCAGATAATGTACGTGTGCCGTCATTAAAGTATGCAAATGTACTTCCTGTATTGAAAAATTGATTCATATCGACATGGGGTGTAGCCTCGTCGACCAATATTCACATTACACTCTCTGGCATAACAAACACTTCAACAGATACCCCGTAATCATCAAACAGGTAAATACCACTCAGTATATTGTAGATAGATAAAGTCTCCATTTCAACACGTGGAGTTTGACGATAACGAGAAGACCTTGCTAAATACCTAACCCATTCTGCCTTGACATCTTGCACATGAATGATTACATAACAATTTAAGTCCCATTAAACTTGGATTTGTTATTATCGATTTTGCTTTCATTTACAGTTTGCTTTTAATCATTATTCGACATGAATGGTTCGTAAAATCATTGAAGAACGTTGAATTTCCTCGCTGGAGAACCATGTCATGGCTAATAGATATCGTTAACAGGGGACATCTTTGACGAAGGAAAAATTTGAATCCAGCACCTTTAGCAGACCACAACCACACCATCACGAACGCTGTGGCAGCACTGTGCATATGAGCTCTTTAAGAAATTTATTTTTTTATTTTTAACTGATTACGTCCTGTGAATGTTTATGCACAACACGTGAACCAAACCCACGCCTAGGTACTTTTTGGTAACACTGTAATGTTGACAAGCGTTACCAACCCCGGAGCATTGACCTCTCTCCTCCCCTCCCTCCTCGTACCCACCACACATATATTGGATAAAGTGTTATTACCATGAGTGATGATGTTGATGGTCTCATTGTGGAAGTAGAAGAGGCTCATGACGCAGCCCCACACAGACAGCAGCGGCCGGTATCCAGTCTCAATGTATGGGTTGAACTGCAGGTGTTTGGGGATGTCTTTTCTGTTGAGGAGAGCTTTCTTCGACCACACGTGTAAGGAACACTGGCTCGAGGCATTCTCCAGCGTTGAATTTTCGCCAGATACAATAACTCCATTGTGTATTTGTGAGCAATTCTGGTCACAACTTTCAGGTACTGTTCTTTGTCTGACCATACTGTCGGCCTTGGCGCCGGCATCGGCAACCCCGCTACCACTGGGGTTGCTTACACCAATTTCTGACATTTTGTTATCTTGGTAAGTTTACGTCTTAAGAAGAAAAAATATATCACAGTTTGCCCATTAATACAAAATAATGGGACCCGTATAGTCACTGCGGCACCTTTCCAGTGAGCAGTGAATGGAGCGTAAGTTCTACTAGCCGAGGAGCGCGATACTGCGGCGCTGTACGGACGGAGGCAGCAATAAGAAGGAAACAAATGAGCAGAGAGACGCGAGGCTTGGCACGTTCCTACTACACTTGCCCTCTCGCCTTTTTTACCATTGACCTTGATCGTATTTTTTGTGTAAATATTCCTCAAGTAGTAAAGCTTGTTAGATTTAATTTTCCATAATTTTTACCTATGAAAAAAAAAACATTATACAAAGATATTCGTCTATTGCAGCTTGGCAAGTGTCATTTGCCGGTATCTCGTTTAACACGCTGTAAAACTGATATTAAAGTTCTCATCTAAATACTATTTATTAAAAACTATTTCGTATACTCTAGCTATATCAACTGTTATATAATAATATCGAAAAATTGTGTACAACCGCAGAAAAAAATATCGATCTACTCGGGCGCTCAAGCGACACCTGGCAACGCGCGCCAGTCAGCTGTTGGATCGATGTTGGGGTCGACAGTGCCAGGGCGCGCATGACCCCCGACAGTGCCAGGGCGCGCATGACCCCGCCAAAATATTACGTCAGTCAGCCACACCGGTTCATTGTAAGGTACACCAAGTAAACAATTTTATCTAGCTAATGGAAGATCTCCCTCACAAATCTGAACAGCCATACGCTTACTTTACCGACTATTAATTTACGTTGCACGATCAATGTACGTTTACTGACGCGAACCGCAACTTCAACAAGGTACACGTTAGGCGAATTAAGTTTCACATTATTTATGGAAAGTTTGTTTCAAGACTCGTGACATTTATTTTGTAGCCTGTCGTTGTAATACCCTTTTTAAAATTGTAGGAGCATTATACTTTGGGTATATATATATATATATATATATATATATATATATATATATATATATATATATATATATATATATATATATATATATATATATGTGTGTGTTTTGTGTGTGTGTGAAAGGAGGGTAGTTATCAACAATTACAAATTAAAAGAGAAAGATCTCCACCGTGATTGCTCCTCGTGTCTCAAATCTGTCATGAAGGATCTTTACATAACAATAAAATTGGTGGCGGCGGACATAACTCTCAGGCTCCTGGATATATGACTGTTTAATGCGGGTTCATTGTAATTCTGGGCTGGCTGTCGCTGCTGGAATTGTCGTCAACATGGTAATTGCATCACCTGGGGACAGAAGTGGCTTGTGCCCACACTGCTCACGAATATCTTATATTTTAATTTATTTATATTTCTAAAACTTTGATCTACCGTTATCTACAATGTAATCTGAGATTCACTAGTATATCTAGCCAATTGTTTAGTTATTATTGTTTCACACACACACACGGCTGTCTAGCTTATTGGCTCTGGTATAACAGAAATGTAACATACTATGTTTTGAAGATTATTATTATTATTATTATTATTATTATTATTATTATTATTATTATTATTATTAAATCTTTAGTTAATTAAAGTTTGTCTACAGCTGATTATTTCACTTCTCAACACTTCACCCATTAAATACTAATGCAACATAATACAATAGCCTCATTCTTACATTACTTTTCCTTTACATAATCTTTAATTTCCTAAAAGGTCTGTTTCTTAATAGGCTTCAGTATCAGCGTTCGTCAATTTGGTAAGTGAATCACCCACGCTATCTTGGCTTAACCCGGAGTCTAATAACCGCCTTAATACGAATATTATTTCCTCCAGAATAGACGAAGGTAAATTTCCATCTTGATCAAGTGTAATTTGTCTCTTCTAAGAAACAGAAAATAACAAGAAACAGAAAATAACCCAGAGAGATTTAACGAGACCTTGAGTAATTTAATATAACTTTAAGACGTAATATGGATTAATGAGATTCCTTTAACCCTCTCCTCCTTTCGTTTTCTGCACTTCAGTTTTACATCATTCTATCTCCTTTCCTTTGTTACATCCGATACAAATATAAGAATATAGACACCTGAAGTCAGAGGTTACGAGAAATAAATGGTTTTGTATATCCTAGAATAAGAAGAATTGTTTTTCTATTCGTCCATCCTCACAGAATAAATAACATAAAGGAACCCACAGATAATATACCCGCGTCTCTTCCTAGCCTAGCCATTAACTGATCGATTCTGCTGGTTCATCTCCTCCTCAGCCTTACCGACGAACCTGGTATATTTCAGACTTAGGTAAAGGAGATGTTTTTGCCTCAATATACTGTAAAAGACGTTATGTGAAATATTTACGCCGTAATAATGAAGAAGTGTAATGTTGAACCCGGAAGTAAGACGTCTTCAGGGTAATCTTTAATGACTCAAGAGGGAACTCGGTCAAGCGTTCCAACACACATACACACACGTCACCAAACAAGCGTACACACCAATAGTTCCCACAGACACACGAATCTTGCTTATTCTTAAAATATTCTGGAAATCCCTGAGAATCCTGAAATTAAATGAATAATTAGGAAATATTTTAATATCCTGGGAATCTTTTAGTATCCTGGAAATCCTCGAATCCAAAACAACAAAATCCTTAAAAAAAAATACTAGCAGAAAATCCGTAAAAATCTGAGAAATCCTTGAAAATCCGGACCCAAAGTTGATATATGAATGAACTCAACTACCCCCCCTCCCGATCCCACCCCACCCCCTAAAAAACAAAAACAAGTGACAAACAAATCGCGTCAAGGTCCAACGTGGTTTTAGTGCCAACACGAGCACCTGCCATCAACGTAATCTACCTGCTGGCGTGGAGAGCCAAGATAGGTTGGGTTGACGGTGCCACTTCTGATAACGGTGTTGATGCCAAGGTATAATGCCGTCACATGACCAGGTATATGATGGTATTAAGGATTAATGATGGTGCTTATAATAATGACGATAAAAATAAAGATAAAAACGATAACAGTTGTATTGAGACACAAGGAGGTAAGGTGAGAGGAGTCACCACGTATTACTGGGTCTGGATAATACAATACCCAGGTAGACTTGGCCACTCGCCCACCTGAGTCTGCACACCTGCTGCTGTTATTGGTGGTGGTGGTGTTGTGGTGTTAATGCTGCTATTACGATTATCATTACTACTACTACTACTACTACCACTATTACCATTACTGCTACTATTATTATTATTATTATCACTACTACTACTACTACCACTATTACCATTACTGCTACTATTATTATTATCATTACAACTACTACTACTACCACTATTACCATTACTGCTACTATTATTATTATTATTATCATTACTACTACTACCACTATTACCATTACTGCTACTATTATTATTATTATTATCATTACTACTACTACCACTATTACCATTACTGCTACTATTATTAATATTATTATCATTACTACTACTACCACTATTACCATTGCTGCTGCTACTACTACTATTGTCATCATTACTACTACCACTACTTCTCTTCTAACAACTATAACGATATCACCATTGTTACGTCTTCCAACAAGAACTATTATCACCACCATAAAAAAATTACCTTTGCTACTTCTCCAACAACAACTACAACTAATAATACCACCACTACAACTATTTTCTCCTGTTTCTAACACGAATAAACTGGATTCACAAGACACGAAAAAACTAATCACTTAAAATTAGAATGCAAATACACGACTTACAAGTACTGTAGGTACCAGCCAAGACTACAGAAATAAACTCAGTTAGTTTGGCACGGGGCGAATTTGTACTCAGTGGATGTTGTGAAAAAATAAATAAACTAGATTAAAGAAATTGATTTGCTTAAGAACAGTGTGTCCGTATGGAAACTGAAAAAAATAACACAATGGAGCTGACGTTATAATGTTATTAATGCCCTTCAACAACTAAGGACATACCACTAATTACTGCCAGATTACGCTATTGTATACATCGCACAGTGGATATTCCCTTAAACTCAGAACATGTTTTATATCGCACCCGTCTACTTTTGTACATGCATGAAGATTTTACTCTCTAACTATGGATTCGGCTAATATAATGTGTAAATAATTATTTTATTCGTTCAATTTGAAATTTAAACTAATTAAATAGAAAACAATATGTTGCTTAATTAAGACGCTTGATGCTTGATTGAAGAATCCTTTCTAGAATTTCATCAAAATGTGAAATTGTTGCCGCAATCCCGTAGACTTGCGTGTGTCACTCACAGGAGAAACAGCTGATTCCAAGGTCCGGTGACTTGATCAATGTCCACGAAATTTAAGAGAACAGCAAACTACCGCTCCTGGTTACACTAGTTCATCCACCACACCATACCTCAGAATACTGAGACCATCTTTCATGACCGGAGATGTGTCATCACTAGGGGGGGGGGGGGCGGTGCTGGTAACTGGGGGTTACTCACGCCATACGAAAGAATTTTGTTAACAGGATGTTGATTGATGAGAAGTCACAACAACTGCAGTCACGTCCTGTCACACCCTGGGCAGTGAACGAATCATTTGCAGAAACTAATTAATGTTCACTTCAACTCACAGGATCGTTGCCATAATTCAGCAACTATCAATAACTCAGTATTGGTTATGGACATAAAAATCACTCAATGTGTAGCAGATGTAACAGTTCTTCCTTGTAGTAGTAAATGTAACACATATAACAATATCTTTGATTGCTATTTCATATTTACATTTACGGGTGTTATGCGTTGAAGAATTTTAAAACGGCCGCGCAATCTAGGAATTACAACAGGAGACAGAGAGTGATATCTACCTTAATAATAATATATATAAATAGAACATCTTATTGGCTTAGCTGATACTCTGTTATTGTTCCGATACCTTGTAACCTTCACTATCTCTGGACCCTTCTGTACCCAAACACTTAACCGAGTTTTATGACGTAGGGAAATCCACAATTTGTTTTTTCCTGAATCCATTCACCATACAGTCACTTATCAAAATCCATAATTGGCTTACACGTAGCTTCGTTCATAGTGCAGCAATGAGTGATTCGTAATAGTTTCTCTGTATTCATATTGTATATCTTCAATAATACTGTACTTCCATTTATCACTTTATACACAATTCATAGATCATCATGTGCCCCAGACGCTTCTCAACGTAGGTCTACACACAACTGGACAATCTCAGCAGTACCCAGAATCCTTGTTTCATCCTCAGTCGCACTCAATGTTCTCGGGGATCTCACACACAAATTCACGTGAACCCAGGAATTTCATGTACTACTTTATATGTGTTAGTTTCTCATAGACCAGTGGGAAACACGAGGAAGCATTGTCCTCAATATTGAAAGTATGTAAAGCTATATTTAGTTAGGTTAGGTTAGGTTTGATTTTGGTTAGGTTAGGTTATAATAATATCAACATTATATCGATTTTTTTCTAACCTAACCTCATCTTACTTAATCTAAACCCAACTGATCTAAATCTAACTAAACATAACTTAAACTAATCTAACATAACATAACATCATAACATTATTTAATTTATCCCAATCTAACGTAACATACCCAAACCTAATCTAATCTAACCTAATTTAACATCAAGTAGAAGTGATAGATAAATAGATAGATTGATAAAGTAAACAACATCTTGACACACAAGCAAATAAAGGTTACAGTTACTGTTATTAGCCGTAACTTACCTGTATACAGTGAGACGTCATGCAGAAGCTGACAAAAAAGACGTCAGCTCCACTCAATAGTCCTGACATGACCTCCTGACTCCTCATTGACTGATGTCAAATTCTTCCTGTCAACTGTTCCTGTCACTGGCAGATGTTTTTGTGAGCTGTTATTTTCTCCTGTCTACGTTAAGTTTCTCCTGTTACGTTCACCTGTCAATGCCAGCTCTTCCTGTTACGGCCAGCTGTTCATGTCACCTTCACTTGTCACCATCACCTTCACACAACACTGCCACTTCCTCTTGTCACTGTCAGCCGCTCCTATCACATTCACTTGTCACTGTCACCTTCACATAACACTGCCACTGTCAATTCCTCCTATCACTGTCAACATCTCCACACACGTCTACTGATTTCAAACGGTAGCAAAAACAACACACTGACAAAAACAAACTCCTCAGAGCCCGAGTCGATACGTGTGAACCCAATAACTGTGTACATTTATCCACTTGAGAGAGAGTGTACAATAATTCAGTTGGATATTGACAGATATAACTTGTAATTCTGAGAGGAATATCTACCAAGTCTAGGCCAATTGTTTAATATATTTTATAATAATAATTATAACTGACATAATTATAATTAATAATGACCACGATTAGGCTTTTATATCTTAATACTTCAGCTGTATTATCTTCGTTGGGGATTCAGTGGTTCGGTAATGAGGTTAAAGGGATGTCATTATGAAACATTTGACGTCATTGTAGTGGAAATTACAACTACAACTACCGTTTGTCGCTGACTAGCCGATCCCTTTTCGGGTTCCCCAGCCAATGCCTCGTGGTCTAAGGTCGGCTACTAGCGAGGTCAGCTATCAAGCCACGCCTACCTCCGTTATATAAGACCTGACCTCGTCGTGAACGCCCTATTTCTATCTACAGCCATGCAGCATTCAACACCTCCTCTCAGAAAGCTCCTCACCAACCAGCTCTGTCTACTCCAAGCTTCTAACCACGCAGCAGCTTCCCAGCACCAAGCTGCACTGTACATTCAATACAATATTTGTGCAGAGAACGCATTGTGAGTTTCCTTTCTCCAACCCATCCTGAGTGTGAGACAACATCACGAAACCCCACATCATCACCCAAGCTCTCCCTGCTATTAATTTGTAGATAAAATTCTGTTTCTCTTCATTAACATCACAAACTGAAAAATTTGCATGTATTATTTCTCCGATTGTATTGTGTGCTTGCGGTTAAATAATTAAAGATGCCTGCAGGGAAAGATAATAAACATTAACAGAGCGCCCTGAAAATATATAATGTTAGAAATATACTACGAACAGAGTTCCTAAATTATTATTTTTTACAGGTATTATGAACAACTAAACCAAACTCCTAAATATATTGGTTAATTTGAGTTATTTACTAACGAAGAGTTAATGTTTTCTGCATAAGAAAAATAGGTTGGCAGCCTACGTGGTAAATTCTTAACATTAACATCTATACTAACTTTTGATGTGGAAACATCCAAGACAAAACAGGTACTAGAAATTGTACTAGATACTAAACAATCAGTGCAAAGATCATGCTTATAGTTGGACAAGCGTCGAAAGAAATATTAATTTGCCTCGAAAATAATATCAATATTATTATTTCATGGATAAAATAACGATATTTACAGTATATAGGACACCAGTTACAATTGTTAGTAATAATTTGTTACTAATACCCTGCATCAATTTTCTTATACCGAAAGATCTGATCCAAATGGTGCATAACTCCACGGGTTTAAATACTTTGCTTTATTTGCTTGAAGACTGATAAGCACGTGCACACAGCAACTGATAAAAGCATTTATTAAATTTATTATTCATTCAAATTACTTTTAATACCTCTTTATAATGATATAAAATACATTTTCTCTAACTATTAAATAAAAGTGAAACGGTACATAATTTCCGAAAAAAGCTTTAAAAATTTTCAACAGCATAACGAGCTCATGCGCACGAAACTGCTCCAAAATCGATATCCAATAAGAACGTTGGTCATTGGCGTTCTGCTGCTAATAGCCAATCAAAACTCAGCCTGAACTCTACATCCGTGTTAAACCAGAGTTCCCGAGCGGCGGAATTTATTGACGTATCGTCTGCTTGTGGTGAGAGGGAAGCTCAGCAACAATGACATTACTGTAGAGGTGATTGAGATTGAGTTTTAAGCTGCAGTTCTCGTCGAGAAAAACACAAGTGTAACAATGGCATCGAAGCCTCACCAGGTCCTACTGGGGTTTGTAGACGAACAGATCACCTCCAGGAATCAGCAAATGGCCAATTTCTCCATCAGCAAAATTGGAGGAATACCAGTAAGTTTTAAATGTTGTTGTGGCAGTCTTCAAAGCCAAGGTGTCTGTTGAACTAATTTTAGTATTTTTGTTGTATCCATCTTGGTAAAATGTGTGATTATTTCAGAGCAGTGTGAACCTGACGAGGAAAGATTTATATACAACACTGTTAATGGTTTGTTTTGTGGTGGACAACAGATTTTTGTGAATAAACTTTCTTGTAATAGAGACTAACAACCAGACGTGTTGTCATAGTCATAATTGATGTTATAATGTGACATCTACAGAGAACATATTATGGTGTCTGGTAATTGTATGATTGTTAATTTTATTGCATTTCTTTGTCACTTTTGTTAATAAGTTTAGGTAAACTTTGGTTATGTTACTTATAGTTTTATGATGGATTTTTTTCGATGGTCATTTTCATTATCAGGTTGATGAAATGTTGAAAATAATGTATTAGTGTTGCCATGATGACTCCCTCGTGTATTATCTGTGTTTAGGGCAGTGAAATAATATAAAATTCTCCAAACACTAAAATACAGAAAGGTCCCACATAACGAGTGACATTTTGTCCTGAAAAAAGGTGTTCATTTGGGTGAATTCTTGCCAAACTACCCATTTTCCCCATTAGCATCCCATGTTCAAAGTCTGAGGTGCATTCCAGAAACCCATTTTATAAACTTAAATGTGATGCCCAGTGAATTTCCACCCCAAAACCTAACTTAACAATATATTATTAAACTTGAATACAGACGTGATATTGAAAACTGTATACAGTCTGTATTTGTCAGAGCTGAAAATTTATGTTGGTTGTGGGTGGTATAGTATTATAGGTACTGTATGGGATAAGAGTATACAGTACAAGTGCATTAGCCAGGTTCCCCTACCATCACTGAGAAAGTGTGACCATCGTTAGCTGCCAACACCATCACATTCTACTTCATGCATTTAAAATATTTTTATAGGAAACATAATTTCATATTTTTGTGTATACAATATACCGTAGTCTCGGTTTATGCGGATTTCTTATACAGGAACGCGGTTGGTCATTTACGCGGCACCTGTCCAGGCGCGCCAATTATTAGTTACATGGTACATTATTGAATTTACGCGGGAAGCGGCTCCAACAAGCTGCGAACTAGGTCGCTCTTACGTCACCGCTGACGTCAGATGACGTTTCGGACTGTGATTGGGCCACGTACCCTTACCACCCACACACCCCCTCCGCCGAGCGCTGTGATTGGTCTGTTTAACCTTACTTGTCCAGTCAACAAAACATTACCGAGTTCTTCACCCACCACCCACCACAGCCAGCCCAAGTCAGTGATAGTGAGGATATGGGCTTTGAGGGGTTTGACAAAGAGGCCCTGCAAGCCTCTGTGGTGGATAGTGATACAGGTGAGGGCCAATATCTGTCCTCTGCCTTGGAACCAACCCCCCATCCCCGTGTGCCCAGCCATCTCTTCTACTAACGTAAGTGTTAAAAAACCTAATATTATTGATATTTCTCTTAGATATTAATTGTGTGTGCATGTAACATGGTTAAAAAAAGAAAATTACATATATGTACTTGAAATTACAAGTTGATAAATAACCATAACATAGCTTACAACTAGGCCTGGAGTGGTAAGGAGAGGGTTAGGGGGGTTTGACTATAGTGGATGAAAGTTTAACACAACTGCCATTTGCATAGACACTGGCTGCTTGGCCTTAATTCTTGCCATAGCAAAGCAGACCAGCTGTGGTGCTACCTCTGCTGACTCCCTAGCAATACCCCCCCCCTCACCCTGCACGCACGGTACGGTACGGTACTTTTTCTAAGAATGTTACGTCAAATAATATTTTTTTTAAGTATTATTGGTATGTTTAGTATAGTGTATAGCACAGTCCCGTACCTTATAATTCTTTACATTATCTTCTTCACTTCAGGATTGGTGCATAAGTGGCTGCGAGATTCCAATATGTAAGCGCTGTGGTCGAAGACAGTCACTGGTAGTTCAAGTGTATTCACCTTTGGAAGGAGCTGTGCATCACCGAACACTTTATGTATTTGCATGTGTAACTCAGGAGTGCTGGAATCGCCAACACAGGTATGAAAATGTTCCAGAAATGGTTTATACTGTAAAGTACAGTACAGTACTATCTCCATTTCCTTGTTTCAGTTGAGAGAATATTAATTGGTTGTTCATTATGTCTTGTAACTTATTCATAAAATTTACCTAATGTACATACATACAGTACAGTACAGTTAAGAACTTGAGTACAGTACAGTAATACTAATTTGGGGGAAAATACCATATGACCTGTAGAAATAATAGTAAAGAAAAACTCATTGAAAATGATGAACAGTGCACAGGTACAGTAGAACATAAATACACATCTGCACAATCTGGGTGACCATCTTGACCGTGTGAAAGTTGAAAGTTTGTATTCCTTAAGGAAAAAATGGTGTCAAAATGTGATTGTTATTAGCTATAACAACTGTTTAAATTAATTTAAAGAAAAAGAGCTAACTCATGTAATATACAAATTAAATCAACAATCGGCAAACAACTACGGTAATCACCTGTATATAACCACGAACAATAACATCCTTATTGGACGAGACACTAATACAGGTAGATTATAATGGAAAAAATTTATTGATAGGCATTCAATTTTTTTTTTTTTTTAATAATTTGTATGCATTTTCCGTCAGTTGGACTTGTTTACGAAGTCAAGTCCTAGACCTTGCTGCTGTGAGAACCTCTGTCCCTCCTTCCAAGTGTCCACCCTCCGTGTCCTCGTACGGCGGAGAAAGTTGGTTCCAGGACGAGCACGACTGGGGAGGCAATGATAATGACGGTAATGGCAACGCTGATAACTACAACTTGGCCTCATCATCACAGCTGTACCTGGACAACATGGCAAAGACTGGAGGGGGGAGGAGTAACCTAAATAACATGAACTCCAACACAACCTCTATTACCGAAGTTGCACAAAAGATGGAGAGCAAACTGAATATTATTGAGGTTGGTTTTATACAGGGTCTTATTTTCTTCTTCTTTTTTGAGAACTCTAATTGATTACTATATTTTAGGACATGAAATAAATAGGATTCTAAAAATCAGTAGAAATAAAGTCTGATTTTTAGGTCCCCATTTATTGCACATCCTAAAATATAGCACTTACACAAAACATGCTTTTTGATGTAGGCGTGTTCCGGTAAATGTTAAAATCCTGGATCAATTTAGTTATTCCTCTAACCTTACCAGATATATTCCAAATATTCTGAGGTTGCAGTACAGTACTTTCAATAAAGGCTGACGAGACTTATAAATTTATGCCAAGTGTAATGATTTATAACTCATAGAATAATAAAGAAACACATTTGCTCTTTTCAGGATGATGCCAATGCCAATGAGGCAGTTTGTGGTGCTGTGGGTATAGTGGGGTGTGAGGGTGAGGGTGTAGAGGCAACTGCAGTGATTGAGGGTCCTGAAGGTGACATGATAGCAGTGGATACTCCTGAGCAACCAACAACAGATATTCCTGCATTATTCCAGGTATATGTATGCTCGGTTACTGTTGTTTGTTCTTTCTAGCTGTTATACCTCATATTTTCTAGTGTGAGCTTCTGCAACACTTTTCCAAGACATTCTTCATCTTTTTTTAATATGATTGGCATTTGTGGCTTGTGTGTGTCAGTTTATTAATTCTTGTTCTGTGTTGTACTGTAAATGAATGACTTCAACAGGAGATGTCCAGTAAATATGATTATATCTGATCTGTTTTATTTACAGGAAGCGGCCCAAATTGATGCTAATGCAGATGTGACCTTCAGCCCGTTCTTCATGGTCAGCGATGTTGAACCCCCGGAGGATGTTGCTTTCTCAGAACATGAAAGGGAGTTATTGTTGCGTTATACACACACAACTGGACATGACTTCAGAGAGGAGGTATGGACTGATTTAATGCATTAAGTATTCTGGTGGATGCTATTACTTCTCTCTCTTATCCTTACAGTATAGCACAAATACAGTATAAACTTGGTTGTATTGTTTTTTTTTACTTAACCTGAAATCAAAGGACATGACACAACATATTTTTGGTTGACATTTTACCCAAACTTAAATAAATCATTAATTTTTGTATTTATGTAAGAAAATATTTTGCTTCTAATGCTAGATGTGCTTTTTAATATATTTTTAACAGGATTTGATGTAGAATTGTTACATGAAATGAGGAATCCATAAATATTTCACCCTCAGATGTTGTGTTTAGAAAATAATAATGAGGGATACGAAAACTTTATGATTTTGCCCGGAAAAAAAAAAATGACCAGATACCCGTTTCATATTTAACTGGAGAATTGACACCCCTTGGGAATACAGCTGATAATTAATGATATCACACGACCAAGGGGTTAATGAACTGGTGTTGATCTTGCAGGAAATTGCTGCAGGAGCTGACGGGAAGGGGGACGGAGTGTATGAAAAGGACATCGCCATCCATGGAGACGTTCTTCTTCACAAGTTCAAAAAGCGAATTTCTCGTAGTCCACAGCAGATCCTCAGGTATGCATAGAAAAAAAAGCCCCTGGATTCCTTTATTTTCAAATCTTAATATGGTTTGATGCATTTTGATTAGGGAATCCATATTTGTTGTCTATTAAGCCATTACTTTAAAATTCTTCTTATATACAATACCTCACACCTGCAGGGACCTCCCATCTGAGGGGTAGGCCACTAGAAGATCCATCAAGCTGCCCTGCCATTGAATACCTCCATAGCCCTCTCCATCCCCCTTATCCCCCCATCTACTCTGTCTTTATTATATTGTTCTGTTATTTCTCTCTGTGATGCTGGTGGTCTTCCTCCTCTCTCTGTACCCCACTCCCATATTTACATTGTTACTATGTGTAATTATCAGTAGCTTTCGGGTTCCAAAACAACTGCTGCACAAACATGTTCTTGGGGCCCTAAGGTCGTTCATTAACTGGGGTGTTCCTGTATGTTAAACTATCGTGAGGACATTATATATCATTGCCTCACCTTTATCGTACTTTCACTTAATCTTTTGATTATTCACACACACTCACCTCATTCCTCATCTAGAATGTCTTCCTTACATGAATCAAATTTCCTCCTACACCTCCCACTACTACTACCTCCTACACCTCTGATACTACTGATTCTTGGCATTTGTCATTGATTTTTGTCTCTAAAATTTCCTCACTAAATTTTCCTGTACGGTAGATTATAAACAGTCAATAGGCATGAAAGGTAAAAAAAAAAAAAATCATTACAGGTACTGCCGGGAAGAAGGTGCATCGCCACTTTGGTTACGCCCACCAGGAGCAAGTGATGTGGCAACCAAGTGTCCGTGTTGTGGAGGGAGTATGGTCTTTGAGATGCAGATCACACCCCAGCTCGTCCTCCATCTCAGAGTGCCGGGTGTCCAGGGTACGCCACTTGAGTTTGGGAGCGTTGCTGTGTTTACGTGTTCTGCTTCATGTTGGAATGAAAAAGACATTGTAAAACAAGAAGCAATAGTTGTCCAGTGTGAAGTGATATAAAGAGATTTTGTTGTCAGTATCCCGAGATATGGCGTTTAGCCTCTGTACCGGGTATTTATTAATCACCAATATATTTTAGTGAGCCCAGTGAGGTTTGCTAGAATTTATCACTCCCTACTAAATCAACTTTATTTTTTTCATGATTGACTACAATTGTATTTGTTCACCGAAAGTTTAAATTTATATGAAAGAGAATAAGAAGCTTTAAACTGAAGGAGCCTGAGTTTGATGATCATTTTAAACATTAAAGATTACTTATCCAAGGGTGGATCAGTGATTTGGAATAAGACCAACACAAGTACAGTATATATATATATATATATATATATATATATATATATATATATATATATATATATATATATATATATATATATATATATATATATATATATATATATATATATATATATATATATATATATATATATATATATATATATATATATATATATATATATATATATATATATATATATATATATATATATATATATATATATATCAGATACTTCTCACCAGTAAAATCTGAGTGCATGGCCCCTCAAAAAATAATTAAATATGGGAGTTTCCAATATAACAGAAGACCTGCTCAAGCTCCATACTGCTTGAAGGGTACAGTACACTCTGGGAGCAACGTTGACAGTTATTTCTAGGGGATGTACACGCTAACAAGTTCCAGGTGGATCTGCCCTTGGCAACATTGAATTTGCACAGACTCCACGGAAAGTGTGTGTCTTGCAGGTACTGAGTAACAGTTTCACAATATTTTTATCAAAATAAATGTTTTTTTTTCTTTTACTGTGAATAAATTTAACACATCTTCTAACACATCTCTCACAAAGTACATTCAAAATACAAATTTTTTGTACTCACTCATTGTTACAAATGTGCAATACAGATACCTTCACCATATCATCAGAACCTCAGAGAATCCTTTACTAATGAGTTGTAATAAAATACTCCTGAAGCAGGTCTAATTTAGATCTGTCTAGAAGTGCAATAGAAATGTGATAATTGTTGATCTCATTGTGCAGTAACATTTGCAGCTATTATTTTATGTATACCTGAAACTTACTTTGGTTCTTTGCTCTCACTTACGTTTAATAGTCTGATGGGGTGAAGGATTAGAAATATTTTTATATATTTCTAAGAAATTTTAATGTATTTTCAAGAATTTTTAATTGGAAAAATGGACAGCAGACATAAAGGAGGAAATTAAGGAAATCTATCGGAGATTATTATAAGCAAGAAGATTCAGTACAGGTCATGATGATATAATAGTACTGTATATAGCCACACATGCTGAGCTTAATTTCAGAGGATTTAACAGTAGATTTTAGAATATTTATGACAAATTACCATGGTACTCTTGAGCTTCCAGCTTGAATATATGATACATACAGTATATAAAATGGACTTTGACAAGAGCACATCCAGTAATGACTATAAAAAAGAAAGCTCCAGTCTTCACTTACATTTTATTTTCACTCTTGCAAGTCATTTTCTACTGTGATGTACGGTGCGGTGACCAAAATCTAGAGCAATCTCTCTAATTGCCGTAATAGATGTTTTCTACTGGGGAATACTATAGCAAAACTTATTTGCTATAATAGCTAGACAAAAAGAATGACAGCAAATTAAAGAGATGTCTATTGGTTCTTGATCTCGTTACCTTCCGTCACGCTACTGGGAAAAGTCTTGTGAGAGTAAAATATAAAAGTTCCTTTTCTCTAGTCCTTTTAAGCATTAAATGTGAGATTATATTTGATGCTTATCAACAAGTTATTTATTTATTTAAATTATCTTAGAATGTAAAATATTAAGTTAAGAAGCAAGGCCCTTAACTGTGGCAGTGCAGTAAATGCTAATTTCTTGTTTTTTGTTGTACAGTACAGTAGTTAGAATCATAATATTAGATAACAAAGGCCTGATTCCCCTCTTGTCCATACTAAGTATATTACCATATCCCATTTCATTTTATAATCCCTGAACCTAATACAGTGAGCCACACCATAGGCATAAAGTAGCTAATATTATTTGTTAGGGAATCAGAGTCGTATTAATTAAGTACCATCCGTTACTTACTCTGCCATTTAAGCTGTCTTAGGAATAATGCAAATCTTGCATTATGGTATCGTATTTTAGTTAAAATGTAATCGAGTGAACACTTAGTAAGGATAGGTGCAAAGTAAGGATATGAACACGTGTGTGGGAGGAGGGGGGTATTCTTACTTTTTGTCTTAGCCCTTTCCTGTCACTTTCTACATTTGTCTTCCACCACTCTCCCATCATTTCCCCCCTTTCTATGAGGTTTCAGTACCCTTGATCTGTTCCACACAAAAGTGGGAGAGGAGTGAAGATGTAGGATAGATAGGTAGATAGTTAAGTGCTTCTTTTGCAGATAATGTCTTAAGCACATTGTTTTCATACACACTGGAAGAGTCTAATGTTAGTGGATTCCATATACATATATATATATATATTTCATGTAGATCCACAATGAAAACGTGGATAAGATAAATCTTGATGAAATCACACGGGAAAAAGGAAACAGCGGAGCACCTTAGCTTTCGTCTTTATACAGTATACTGTATATGTATTAGGATGGATCTGAAAGTTGGGCACAAACTTGTGAACTGAGTGGTAATTAAGAGAAGCATGGGATAATGATTACCTTCTTTATTTGGCAAATGACCAAAATTAGATGCCATAAAAGCAATATTTGTTGCTGTTTAAATTTGTAACTTTGCAGGAACAACAGGTATTAATAGGCATACAGTATTAAAAAAGATATGTGGACAGGTAATATGGTCTAATGGAGTTATATTTTCCATAACTTGATAACATTTGATATTTTTGAAACTGATGAGTTGTTTTGAGGATTTGGTAAAATTAATAAAGGATTATACAGTACTGTACTCTAAATATCTCAACAATATTTAACATAGAAAAAAGAGCAGTAAACATATCAGTTTATAACCTATTATTTTGTTTATCACTGTCAATACACTATCTGAAACACAACGAGAAGTTTTGAGTCAATTTGGCATTTGTACGAAAACCCCTCTTTGGCAAATACCCCTATACAGTATATTAAAAGTTTACTACAGGGTATAATATTTACCAATCAGTTCTGCAGGGTATAATATTTACCAATCAGTTCTACAGGGTATAATATTTACCAATCAGTTCTACAGGGTATAATATTTACCAATCAGTTCTACAGGGTATAATATTTACCAATCAGCTCTACAGGGTATAATATTTACCAATCAGTTCTACAGGGTATAATATTTACCAATCAGTTCTACAGGGTATAATATTTACCAATCAGTTCTACAGGTTTCTATCTTATGTGAAGCAGTTATGAGTTGCTTGTATAGGAATAAACAAATGTGAAAAATATACCACAATTGAAATACTGTACCCTGTATATGAAAGACAGTTGAGCAATTAAACTGAGATTTAGAATAGACATAACTACAGTACATCAAACTTATAAATAAAGGAGGAATAACAGAATTAAGAAAGAGAGAGAGAGAGAAAACAAAAACTTTAGATGATAAGTGAGTGATTGAGAAAGTGTGGGGAAAACAGTACAATAATTAGAAGAGAGTAAATAAGAGACAATTTAGGGAAGGTTATTGTGAGTTTTAGTACTGTAATGAATGTGTGGGCTGGTACTGTACTGTAGTAACTAGGGCTATTGTATTATTATTATTATTGTTTTAGATAGATGTACTGTAGATTGCTGTATGAATATATGGACAAAGATAGAAACACTTAATTGGATAGTGACATAAAGAAAAATACCCTCTTAACCCCTCTTTTTTTTTTTTTGGCTTCTTCCGCAGTTGTTAATTTTCAGAAATGTAACATAGGTATTACCAATCATAGTCTTGTACCACTAGGAACCTTGGTTGATGTTAAGCTCATTTAAAAGTTTGCAAAGAAGAAAAAAAAGTTTTGGAAGTTTTAGCAGACGTTTGCTCTGAACTATAAGGTGTACCGTTAACGTTTTATTAATCATATTTTTTTAATGTTATACTCTCCAGAATAGTATGTTACCTGATTTCTAATTAGTGCGATGCTGAAATATACATACCTGATAGATATAGATACAGAATTTTTTTTTAATAATATAAGTAAAATCTTCTGAAATAAAATACGTACATACCTAATCTCTTTAATATCCAGTACTCAAGAAATCTAAAAAAAAAAAATAATAATAACTATAGAGACACCCAATATAAGTTCATTTTTAAGTACTACCTGTAACCATAATCCAAACTAGCTACAGTTTGTACCTGACCTGCTGTGGAATACTCTTATCACAATCGTTAACTCCTGTGAGAAACTGAGCCCGCAGTCTCTCCCTTTAGCCTTTGTGAAATCTTGTATGAAAAAATTTGCACAAGATTCTGATACTGTGTACGTACGTAATCTAAAACCTATGGCGATGTTTAAATACTGTAGTGGGGAAGAACATGAGACATTCCTTCTACCAAGCAAAGGAATTAAGTGAGAGAATTTACTTAACACTGGACATTTGTAAGAGAATGGAAAGTGCTGGGGAAATACTCTAAACTTTTTACATCTCTCATTCGGGATCATGATTTATCACTAGAATAAATACAGTTTATAAAGCTGACAGGGCAGCTTGATATTGCTTGCCCAAACACTGGTGCTTTTTTTGAGAACCCTCGACATCTTTGGATTCTGGATATTAAAGAGCTTGCCGTTGAGTTAAAAAAATATAGTTTCACAATATATAAACATTTTAGTAATATAAAAATCTGAATTTTGTAATAGTTTTATAACAGTCCAAATACTACACATAGGAAAAAGTTGGTCAATAATGTAGAAGAAATACAGTAAGGTATACAGCATATTGGGGAGAGAATAGTTAGCTGCAGTGTGAAGATATGCACTTGGCAGAAGTCTTGAAACAATGTACAGTACAGTGAATCACGCAGTACAGTACAGTAAACAAAATATTTTCTCACACTTGCCAGCACTGAACCACTATGATTCAGGAAGGCAGAGATTAACACTGAACAGCCTCCACCTTCTTTCATTGTCATTCATTCTCTCTAAACTACTATAACAGATGTGTACTGCTATGATGTTCCCTCTCCTCAGTAAGGCCCAATAATATCCATCTGGTTTATCCCTATCTCTTAAATGATGGCAAAATTACCAAAACATTATAATCACATTGTGGATTATGAATAAGCTGATGGATATTAATGATACAGTACTGTATGGTAAATAATCGTAATGCGTAATATTCACTTTAGGCAATTACAGTACTTCACTT